TCCATTATGACAAGGTTTTTTTCGATTTCCCTATTACTCCCATATTGTTAAAAAACGTGAAATTTCAAGTTCACTCATAACAAAAATGACTCGCATCACTAGAAAGCTCATAAAAACTACATATAAGACATTTAAACAGTCACCTACATTTTTCAAGCGGTTTTCGAGTTATTGCTGTTCCAAATGTGACAAATAGGCCAAAATCTGGCAAAAAATCTTGGGTACTAGTCTAACAACACGTTTCCAACAGCTCATAACTCAAGAAGAACTTGCAAAATCAAGGTAGCCGTTAAATGTCTTATATGTAGTTTTTTGTAAGTTTTCTAATGATGTAACTTATTTTTCCTATAAATGAATCTGAAATTTCACTTTTTTAACAATATAGGAGTTCATTAGGGAAATCGAACAAAAAACTTTTCATAATGGAGAAAGCTCCAAGAGGATACATGAGGACTTTTAGTATGTTATCAAGGTTGCTGAAGAGAGTGCATACGCTAATGTTTGGCTTTTTACTAATTTTTTCAGACCTATTTTCTATTTTGATTGTACTATTTGGTGTCATCTCCGTGAAATTCGAGTACCTGCTTGAGCTGCGTAGTTGAATAATTATTGCAGGAATGCAGTTTCGTTTTCACGAAACAAAAGGTTGCTTTTGAAGCAGGAAAGTGAGCCACGCTTGTCCATTTTGAAACGTTTTCTCGAGCAAATCCAGCTTAAAAGTTAAGCAGAATTTGTCAAGATGGTGATGTCTAGAAGTACAGCAGTTGGGTCGATAGTAACAGGCTCTATCATGCTCGGTTTTGCAATTCTTGCCGTGATATGTGGCGCAATTTCAGCCAGTAAGCTGTCTGGTGAGGTTGCAGCCTCGGCTGGTCTGTGGTCGCTCTATGTAAGTATTAAGCCTTGTTCATGTCCAAGTCTTACGCCTAAAACTTACGTAGCCCATGTTGTTTAGAGCTTGAGTTTCGTTTGGTCGCAATTTTCGAAGGCTTGATTGTCAGACCTTGTCATTGACATTCTTCGAAAGTCTGGTTGCCCGTGAAGTGTTAAATTAAGCAAATACGTTTTCTCAACTTGTATAGCAATGTAGGAATCTATCGTTTATAGTCCTATTTTGGCTACAATCATCGTGTGCTCGCGACCACCACGACTAAATCCAAACGAAAGGCGTTATAAAGCTCAGTAAATTCTGCTTCTCTTTTGCTATTTTAATGGCGACTGTTTGCCAATGCCCAATGGCGATGTAACTATAATTGTGAGTATATAATCATTATAAGTTAATTTACAGTTAAATATTTGAAAAAAATGTTATCACATCGCTTAGATTTTTCACGTCAGTTTCAAAAAAGTATTCCAGAAATGGCGAATTTGGCCTTCGTGAGAAAGGCTAATTGTTTTAGGCTAAATGATCGACCATAACGAACAACATAGAATATGTACTCAGACATTGACAATTATATAAGCTCCCTTCCGGTTAGTTTGCTACAGTGGAAATTTTTACATTTGCTTTTTGAGACGAACTTGAATTTCCCGGCGGTTATTTCATCTCGATTCCTACCAGGAATCTGGTTATATTTGACTAGGATATCCCTGTTGAAATAACCATACTATGCTAGGTGGATAAATAACCAGGATTCCCTAGTCATTTATCCACTGGGAAATTTAATCAGGAATATAAGTTAGCCAATAGACCTTTCCTCTTATGAGTGAAATATTGATCTAGACAAGCCTGGACAAACATTTCATCACAGCTTGAAAGAGCATCACAAAATTAGTAATATTCGGAAGTTTCGTTGGGAAATGTTGTGAAATGCGGATAATCTAGCCTTGCGAAGTTTGCCGTTTTTCAGTCATTTTTGTATTACAAATGCATTGGAAATTGATAATCAGTTTGATCATCTGATTATCATGCAATTTCCCGTTTGTAATACAAAATGACTGAAAAACGGCAAACTTTGCAAGGCTATATTATCCGCATTTCACAACATTTCCCAACGAAACTTCCGAATATTACTAATTTTGTGATGCTCTTTCAAGCTGTGATGAAATGTTTGTCCAGGCTTGTCTGGATCAATATTTCACTCATAAGAGGAAAGGTCTATTGGCTAACTTATATTCCTGATTAAATTTCCCAGTGGATAAATGACTAGGGATGAAATTTTGTCCAGGCGTATCTAGATCCTGTCCAGGCGTATCTAGATCATGATGCAAATTTCACTCATAAAGGGAAAGGTCTATTAGGGCCAGGATCATAGGTTGTATCCGCTGTTTTTAGTACGGTGTATCATGATTTCTTTTCATTCTAGTTTGCTGTGCCCGGAATACTCTGTATTGTGGCAGGTGCAACCAAAAGTGGCATTGTGGTAAGGGATAGTTGTCTTAGATTCAAAAACTGATTGACGGTCTCCCAGGGGTTTTTAGAGATCAAGGCATATTTTGGAATGGGAACAAGGAGGAACAAAACCAAAAAGATCATAGGGGACACTTATGTTCCTAAATTGTTTGAGTTCTAGAGATCAGTATTATGCTCTGCACAAATGGAAAATAAACCTCCGGAATCAGGGTACAAAGCTGAAAAGGGTCATAATTCCCAGGGAACAAAGTAAAAAAGATCATAAGGAACAATGAATGGATTATGTAAGCTTCATGGGGAACAAGAGTCGAGAATACAGACCCCTTTGGGAGACCCTCTAGCTGAAACGGTTGTATCCAAATCCCGGTACATGGAATCATACATGTGTATGACAAGTAACAGCGTTCCTAAATTGTTTTCCTAGATTTATTTTCCTCTGCACAAATGGAAAATAAACCTATGGAGTCAGAGTATATAACCCTAAATAGCGCTAATTATGAAGTAAATGGTGGTGAACCGTGGTAGTAACACAGTTTGTATATCCGATACAACACGTACTATTATTTAATAACGTATTTATGAGAATTAAAATAAATAGAATTAAAATAAATTAAAATAATGATATTTGGTGAGAAAATTGAACGTACAGTAAAGTTTATGTAGAACAGCATGATACTGTATCA